GAAGATGATCAGAAACTGGGGTTCAATCCGTTAAATAGACCGTATAAAGGTAAGCATTTGTACTAAATTTCACTTAGTTATCTTTAAACGTTTAGAAAATATTTACAAAAGAATGTAATCAGGACTTCACTTTTAACACCCTGTATCTCGGAAAAGAAACATTTTCGGACCTATGTTTATATAAACTTTTACTTCTATTTTAGGATGTAGATTATGCTGTTAAAATATGACCGTCTAATTTCGCGACACTCTGTATATTAACATAGTATGCCATGTGTTCAAATATGTCGAAACACAGCTGAATGTTTGGTGCTTTGGAACTGGTTGGTATGGAAATCGTCGCTGATACTCCATACAAGCAGCTCGCGAATATTCATGACAAAATCATTAAAGGTACACTATGTCGGCATATTATTAATTCAAAAACAGCAAAGGCATGTTGCAAATTTAAATTTATCATAAAAAGGAAACGTAGTTGACAAGTGAAGTACTGAGTAGCTAACTGACGTTTATAATTATTGTTGATAAACAACCAAAAGTTTTGAAAATGTCATATTTAAGTTTGTATAGTAGGTCTTGCAACATCCTCTATATGTAACTGATCATTTTAGAGATGTAAAAAATGTAATCTGGACAGTTACATCTCAGATAAACAAAGGCAAATGTGTCCAATGTGGATAAACAAACGCTTGAGATGTAATCAATGCATCAGATGTGGATATTTAAACGCAACAATAGTTGGTAGATTTTTGACAGTTAGTGTGATGAAATTTTTAAGATAAAATAGTTAAGCGAAAATTATTGAAGAAATCGAATTTTTGTTTGATTTTATTCTTTACATAATTTAGTGTCTTTTTGCTTATATTGATAACACTTATAAATAAACAGGTCAATAACATTTTAATATCAACAAAATTAAATATAATTATAAATTTATAATTTTTAAATGTTAAAAGTGTTTTAAAAACTTGAAAGTATTTATTAGTGTTCAAATTCGTACAACAGAAAATACTTTTTTATTTTTAAATGGAGGTATATTATTTATGTATGGGCCAGAGCCATGGGCGTCGTTTGGGGGGGGCAAGGGGAGGCAGTTGCCACCCCTGGCTTTTAGCGACTTAATCAACAACGCGTAAGATATGCCTTACGAACAACAATCTCATATAGAAATAATAATATTCAGGCTAATATAGTTGAAGAATATTATAGGTTGAATATATTTATTGCATATCTGGATTCCCTTATTACGTCGCTTACATCACGCTTTTCCGAAGACCCTGTTAGTTTGTCCTTAAGCCTGTTACATCCCAAAAGCATAAAAACAATACTCTTTTTACTATCAATTAGAAAATGAAAGTAGTCGAAAAATTTGGAATCGACAATTTTGAAGATGAATACCAAACTGGAGAACGAAAGAGCTTTCTACACACAATGAGCTCTCCATTAATGATATAGCATCCAAACATTGTGAATTTTATCCAGACATACAAATATATTTTTTCTAAATATGTTACTATTAATTCGTTTATGGAAAAACATATAGGAATGTACAAACTTCATAAAATCTTTTTAGGCTTCAAAATTCCCATTGAGACCCATTTACCGTATACCAGTGGCGTATCTTAGCATTTTTATTATTAGCAAACCGTTTAATAATTCTATCCGCTTTTATCTTCGTTGTTAATTGAGATATTGGAATGAAAACTTATTTGTTTAAAAGCTTGGGACAAATACTCTCATATACTGGATTCAATTGGTGTGTGACTTGAAAGCTTACTTCTGTTTTATCGGAAATAACAAAATCTTAATTTATTTTTAATTTTTAAATAGAAACCCCCGTTTTTATTGAACATTTGAATTTTAGGTACATTTATGGATAAGAATCATGTGTTGAAAATTTTTTGTCAGCTGTCAAAATGATCATCATATTGAAACATATTTTTTTTAATATGTTACTGAGAAAATTTTCAATACACGCTTCTTATACAAAAATGTCCCAGAAATTCAAATTTTCAATAAGAAAAACGGTTTTCATTTAATAATAAAAATAAATTGCGATTTTCTGTTATTTATGGAAAAACCGGAAGTAAGCCATGACGTCACAGAATAATTAAATCCATCATAAGAAAATTCTCTTTTATGTTTCATTTTCTTTGTTTTCCAATAAATAAACAGACTAAATTTTTTCAAAATTTTGCCCCCCCCCCCCCCCTATAGAATTGTGTAACGACGCCCATGGCCAGAGCCCATTAAAACAATACAATAAGACAGAATACATATTACAGTTATTAAGTAATAATAAAATCGTAAATAATAATAGGTAAATTAATTAAAAATATGTACATATTAAGTATTAATAATAATTAATGAAAAATCAAAACATAATTACTAAATTCTGTGGGAGAGATATTTTATGTTAGGTCGATTAGCAGATATTATCAATCTAGGAATAAAAGAATGAGAAGCATCATCTTAATGCGTTGTTGATATAAATTTATTCTTTAGGACTTTCCCATACAGCACAAACACATTTCGGAAATATTTCAAAAATATTACATTGAAACATTTGTAATGTATAAATATTACGAAACATCCCAGAAACATTTCTGAAATGTGCCTGAAACGTAAAAATCGTAAATATATTATTTCACAGTAATATTTCTGAAATAAAAATTGAAAATTTTTAGAAATACTAAATAGTAATATTTGAGAAATTTATTCTAGCTTTTTTTATAAAATATTATTAGACTAAAAAAAGACATTTATAAATATACATGTCTATTATTAAAATACACAAAACTCAAACATTGATTCTTAAAACAAACAAACAAACAAATAAATATTTATTAACATTATTTCATAAAATATAAATGCGAATCGCTTCATTTCCACAAATTCCGTTAAATGCACTAATCTGAGACAAATAGTTTTTTTTTTTTAAATGCCCCAAGTAAAGAAACATTTACGTTTATTATAATCTGATCGTTAGGATTAATTGGCAATTTTATCATCAAGGGATGAAAAACTTCATAAACTGATATTCTACTCTCTAGTATACCTTGGAGTCTAAATCACTTAACTGCACTATACTCTGCTTTAACATCACTAAACTAACTCAAAAGGCTTGGTTCTCTTGAGTCTTCTTATTAGATTAGAATTGTTGGATATCTCGAGGTTTCCATGTTGAAGCAGTCGTTGTTGGTGACTACTGTAAAATTTTTGTATTGTACTTTCAACAGTCTCAACTTTAAGGTCCCTATGAATATCAGTATTGTGGCAGTACAAGGGTGCATCGACGATGTTTCTTAATACTTTACTCTGGAAACATTGAATAACTTCGATGTCTCTTTTACTAGCACATCCCCAAAGCTAGCGAATCGCTTCATTTTCACCAATTCCTTTAAATACACTAATCTGAAACAAATTATAGGTAATTAAAAAGGTCTATTAATATTAGTTAAAATTAACTATAATAAAAGAAACAATACTCATGCGGGGGGTGGGTGGCTCAGTGGTAGAGTCTCTGCCTGTGGATCCAAGGGTCCCAGGTTCGAATCCCACCGTTGGCCGGAATTTTTTCATTTAATTTAATTATTTAAAATTAATTCTGATGCCTTGGTAGGATTCCCCACTCGACCATTTACTGTTGGGTTCTAATTAACAGTGCTGTTCCTAAACTGGCGCTGGGAAACAGTAACAAAGCCTACACAGAACACGAGGCGAAATAACCTTAGTAGTTGAAGCCGATGACACACAAAAAAAATACTCATGCATACACAGAACATGAAGCTCTACTTTTCAATCAGCTGTAGAACTAATAAATAAAACTGGTGGAAGGACAGCAAATGCAGGTTATATTTAAACAGAAATAAAAAAATAAAATGCCTGTAAATTTGATAAACGAAATGGCGTACGATTAATGTACTTCTCAAGAAAATGCTTGGAACATATATAGCTGAATTTAGAAGGTTCCCAATTATGTCTGTTGACAAACTATCTACGTGCTACGTTATTTCGTATAAAAAAGTATTATTCCAATATAGGCAGGCCCAAAAGTTGATAGATTATATTTTTTTTGCATTTTTAAATGCATACTTTTACACATTTTATACAAACCTGTCAATACTGTCCTGTATAATATTTATAATTTTCATAATAACCTATGAAACGTTATTCCAGTCGATTCTTTACAAAAACGTCTATCGCTAGAGCAGGAACGTATAACACAGCAAGGCATTATATACTTTATAAGTTTGTAACACTCAAAATTTGCTTAAAAACAAATTAAATTCAAATTTAATTACACAAATGACAGTAAAAATATAACCTGTAAAATTGACAATTTGCACTTACAGTAATGGCGGACCGGTCCCACTTTTCGCTTACGCATGTCTATGAAGACTAGACATACGCATGTCGTATCCCTAGGTTGCCAGATCAATGTATTCTTTCGAGAAACATAACCTTTTAGTTGTGACCAGATTAGTTCAATGGGCTTTAACTCTGCGTAGTAAGGCATTTTAATTCCTTTTTCTCGCACCATCTCTATATTTGTTGATTTTCTTTTTACGTTGCCTTGCAATTAAAGTAATTCTGCCTTAAAGGATTTAGGAGGATTAATAATATTTTTAGAATGTAGCCATTTTAAAATATCTTTGTTTTTCCTTCTTGTAGTAGGTAGTAACTCCTTTAATCGACTGTGATAGGACGAATTATCCAAACCAATAACGGAATACTTGGGTAAACTATGCAGAACAATGAAAAAACAAAGGATAATAGTTTTGAGAAACCATAAATTTTTGTTCCAATATTTTGTTACTAAATATTTTCAAAATATAAAAAAATATTTCAATACTGTTGAAACTTCTACATTATATTTTAAAACTTACACCTAAATAAAGACAGTTAAGTTATAATTCCCTTCATGTCTATATTCTGAAAAATTTAAACTACAATAGAATGTAAAAAAGTTTGGAACAACTTTTTGGCAAACCACCTCTTCATTTCAGTATTTGTAATACCTGCTGGTTCTATTTCTTCAAGTTTAATTGCTAGTAAGAAAGCCCCAACCAGCATTTGTACCCTTGGGTATATTATAACATTGAATACACCTAACAAATACCCCAGTATTGTCATTATTAAGTTTTAAATCACAAGTTCTACATTGTTGTAGAGGAATTACTTTTTTGTTTGAGCTATAGATGCGTACATCAGGTGGAGGTATAACTGCATATCCGGGACATTCTAGATAGGGTTCCATATTGAAAGGTCCGTCTAAAGGACATTCTTCATCTTCCTCTTCGAATTCATGTTGTACGGAACAGCCGCCAGGTATTAAACAGTCTTGTGTACCGATTTGAGAAAGTTGACAAGTTACAATAAGAATTAGTATCACCAAAATTTTGAACATTACAAATTACAAATAATAGTTAGTGATTAAATAAAACATTGATTAGATGTATGACAATTAATAGATGGATCTTTGACAATTAATTGACATTTACACCTCGAATTCTGGTTCCGAGCAAATACTTGGCTTGATACTATAAAACGAAGGTTTCATGTTACGTAGATTGATGCTACACGTCAAGGTGACGTAATGTGGTGGAAGGCGTGGCTTTAACGAATTTGACGCATTAGCTGATCGAAAATAGCGCGCAAAAATAAATTATAATCAGCTCGTTGCCAATCAGATAACCATACTCCCTACCACAATACGTCATGCGCGAACTCGACGAGATTTCGTAACATACCTCTGTCATTTTTTATATGCTATTAGGCTTTCCAATGACCTATCAAACTGCTGACAAGTGGGAACTGACATTTATATATGGCAACCCTGTAAGTCTGTTGATACATATATAGTTATATAGATTGCTTAAAGCGGGTCGATTACGAGTGGCCATATTGCATCGCAAGTGCTCATTAATCAGAATCGATTTTGCAAAAATGTGTTTAAAAACCAATATTAAGCTTTTGAATATAGTAAAAAAATAATTACCTACTTTTTTACTTATGTTTATTGTGAAAAATATAGATGATCAATCTATGTAACTATCTATTTCATTGACCTAGTCAAATCACCAGGCCTACAGGGTTGCTATAATTTTGCCTTATCATAACCTGTCAAAACGCGCTGGTAGCCATTTTGTTTGGAATGCCTAATAGAGAGAACGTTTGTCAAGTATGCATGCGATATTTATGTTCTCGACATTCTGTAAAGGAAGAGGCAAAGCTAGCACAAGGGAGTAGGAAATAAATTCTCTGATTGATTTATTTTAAAATAAAAAAATTGTACCTACTAGAAGAATCTAAAACATGAACAATGTAAATTCTTTAAACAATGCAATGCCAGACTTAAGTATTCTGTTAGTTATACATAAAAAATAAAAAATGCCAGCAATTATTGATAAATTTTTGTTTAGGTGTTTTGCGATATAATTGGTCTTTAATAATGATTTTCACATAACTCATTTAGTTCGAAAAAAAAAACCCAACAATAGAGATCAGGTACATAAAGATAGGGAGCGCAACGACCACAGCAACGGTGTAGTCATCTATGCGTCTCAGTCAGAGACTACGTCTCAGTTGTTAACTAAAGGTATACGTCGTTTATAGACGTAAACAGCAGTGGACACTTTGTAAAAATAAATGTCAGTAAGTTATATGTATGAAGACTAGAGATAAGGAGGCGAATCGGCATGCTTAAAATACGGTCACAAAAATTACACGTCAATTGAGCTTTTATAATTAACCGCATGGGCGCTGGTACGGTTTACGTAGTTCAAAATACATGGCTTCTTATGGGAATTATACATAATTTTGTCAAAATAACAAAAATAAACTTGTTTATAGCTAAATAAAGAACATAATATACTGTTGTATTTATTTCTAAATAAGTCTTACATATTTTAATTGATACATTATTTACTATTTATTCCTATTTAAGTAAAATGCAAATTATTGATGATAAGTGTTGAAATTTGATGGGTAGGGATAATTATTTTTTAATTAAAGCTAAATAGGGCTGAGGGCATACTAAGACACGGTTCAAATAAAAATATTTAGTTAGGGATTTTACAAAATTTTATGAAAATAATAAAAATCAAATTGTTTATTGCTAACTAAAGTACAGAAAATACTGTTGATTTTAATTATTGTAAATAAGTCTTTGTTTTAATTGCTAACTAAAGTACAGAATATACTGTTGGTATTAATTACAAATGAGTCTTTATGTTAAACATTATTTACTATTAATTTTTTAATTTTATCTAAATAAAATGAAAATTAGGTATGACCAAATTTGAAAAGGTTTGTTAAATAGTAAAATTTGGTAAGTACAGTTTTGTGGTAATTTTGTATTCGACAACTACAATTTCATCATCCTGGTGAATAGTTTCTTTAGCAATAGGTTCTAGTATTTTCTTCCTTTTTTTTATTCTAACAAATTCAGTTCGGTTCATTGGTGGTTTTCGTTTTTTTCTAATACTGGACAAGTATGAAGAGAGATTCGAGAATATACATGGTATTGCTTCGTTCTTTAATCTCGGCCTTTCCCTTTCTATTTTGTTAACAGTACCATTAGTTAAAATAGTCTCATCAAATTCTAAAATATCATTTTCCAAAAAGTATAGCTCGCAAACAGAATCATAACTAGACAGTACTTTATCAGCCCTAGGAATCACATCTGCCATTGTTCTAAACGTTTAGGATCCTATAGAAAATATTTGCAATGACTAAATTGGAGTTCAATAAAGAAAAATAACAGTAGTAACTCTTCATCTACCATCAAAAAACATAAAAAAAGCAAACTTTTTTTACTAGTAAGTTAAATTTAATGTGTAATTATTGTTGTTTGTAAGTCAGGATATATGACTTTATTATTTTTTATTATAGAATTTTGTAATTAAATAAACTACACTCCGTAAGATACGGGTTGTGACTAGTTTACAATAAATATATATTATTTAGAAATTAATACATTATTTTACTTACACTAGGAGCCTTAAAAAAACTTGGATTTTTATCTCCTTGTGTTTTCTTTAATTTTATATTGGATTTATATCCCGTTTTTAACCCGGAACGAACCAAATCCTGCTTTGCCGTTTTTTGTTACTCACTTGTAGTCAGGTTCTTTATTTCAGCGTATTTTTATTCTTTTCACTAAATTTTACAAAAATCACTTAATTCCCATTGACTTTTTTGAAACTCCATAAAAATAGGGACGGAAATAGGCCGATTCGCCTCCTTATCTTTAGTCTTCATAGATGTTACGTAGATTGATGCTACACGTCAAGGTGAAGTAATGTGGTGGAAGGCGTGGCTTTATTGAATTTAACGCATTAGCTGATCGAAAACAGCGCGCGAAAATAAATTATAATCAGCTCGTGGTTAATCAGATAACCATATTCTCTACCATAATACGTCATGCGTGAACTCGACGAGATTTCGTATCATACCTCTGTCATATTTTATATCATGCTATTAGGCATTCCAAACTGAATGCCTACTAGTGGGCTTTGACGGGTTATGATATTGCATAATTATGGCAACCCTGTAGACCTGGTGATTTGACAAGGTCAATGAAATAGATAGTTACATAGATTGATTATCCATATTTTTCAAAATAAACATAAGCGTATGCCTTGAAGTAAAAATGTAAGCAATTGTTTTTTTTTTAAATATCTAAAGGCTAAAAATTGGTTTTAAAACACATTTTTGCTAAACCGATTCAAATTAATAAATATTTGCCAGGCAATATGACCGCTCGTAAACGACCAGCTTTGAGCAATCTATATAACTATATATGTATCATTGACCCTGTTAATGACAACATGACAACAGGGTTGCCATATCTAAACTGTCATTACCCACTGGTAGCCATTTGGACAGGTCGTTGGAATGCCTAATTAGGCATTCCAGTGACCTGTCAAACTGCTGACAAGTGGAAAATGACATTTAGATATGGCAACCCTGTGAGTCTATTAATACATATAAAGTTATATAGATTTCTCAAAGCGGGTCGTTTACGAGTGGCCATATTGCCTCGTAAGTGCTCATTGGGCAAAATCGATTTTGCAAAAATGTGTTTATAAACCAATATTTAGCCTTTGAATATAGTAAAAAAATAATTACCTACATTTTTACTTCAAGGCATATTCTTGTGTTTGTTTTGGAAAATATAGATGATCAATCTATGTAACTATCTATTTCATTGACCTTGTCAAATCACCAGGCCTACAGGGTCGCTATAATTTTACCATATCACCTGTCAAAACCCGCTAGTAGCCATTTTGTTTGGAATACCTAATAGAGAAAATGTTTGTCAAGTATGTATGCGATAGTTATGTTCTCGACATTCTGTAAAGGAAGAGGCAAAGCTAGCACAAGGGAGTAGGTAAATAAATTCTCTGACTGTTTAATTTAAAAATAAAAAAATGGTACCTACTAGAAGAATCCAAAACATTAACAATGTAAATTCTTGAAAAAATGCAATGCCAGACTTAAGTATTCTGTTAGTTATACATAAAAAATAAAAAATGCTAGCAATTATTGATAAAATAAGTACAGTTTTGTGGTAATTTTCTATTCGACAAATACAATTTCATCTCCTGGTGAATAGTTTTTTCAGCAATAGATTCTAGTATTTTTTTCCTTTTTTTATTCTAACAAATTCAGTTCGGTTCAATGGTGGTTTTCGTCTTTTCCTAAAACTGGACAAGTATGAAGCGAGATTCGGGAATATATATGGTATTGCTTCGTTCTTTAATCTAGGCCTTTCCCTTTTTATTTTGTTAAACAGTACCATTAGTTAAAATAGTCTCAATAAATACGAGGAGCTTTAAAAAGATTTGAATTTTTATCTTCTTGTGATTTCTTTAATTTTATATCGGATTTATATCCCGTTTTGTAACCCGGATCGAAGCAAGTCCTGCTTTGTCATTTTTTGTTACTTATTGTTACTTGTAGTCAGGTTCTTTATTTCAGCTTATTTTTATTCTTTTCACTAAATTTTACAAAAATCACTTTAATTCCCATTGACTTGCATAGAAAATAGACGTTGTTATTTTTCCACCCACAACTACATTAGTTTTTTGGAACTCTATAAAAATAGGGACAAAAATTTAAAATTTGACAAAGGCTGATTCGCCTCCTTATCTCTAGTCTTCATAGTTATATGTATATCGTGGAATCCTGAATTTGAATTGAAAATTTTGTGTTAATGATTGTTTTAATCTCTATGGTGAACTAAGCGAAATGGTTGTGGTTGTTTTTTTTTGTGGAATTTAAGGACAATAACTGTATTTTGAAATATTACATTAATGAGTCGGAGCACCTATTGTGTTAGTATCACATGCCACAAGAATAAATTTAACAACTCCAATGTGGCATTTTTTAATTTACCAAAGTAAGATCTAGCCATCTATGTAACACAAAGAGTAGCCAACTTTTGTCACAAAGTATGTATTTATTATTTTAGAGCAAGAAAAGCGTTAGAGAGAATTGACATAGGAAGAAAAATAACTGAAT